GAACACTTATACACATTTTGCTCAGTTATCCTATGTTCACAAGAACAGTCTTATTCAGTATTCCTCCTTAAGAGACAGATATTTCATTAAACATAATATTATCTGAACTCTTTCTTGTTATATATATTTTTTTATGAAATCATTGTTCCTTAGTGCTGTATAATATTCCATTGTGTGAATGTATTACAGTTTTTCAATCCATTCATTTGTTGATGGACTTTTGGACAGTTTGTATGTTCTAGCTATTATGAATAATGCTGCTATAGGTGTACGTATCTTAAGTCATGTTTCAGTTCTGTTTTCCTTGGGTTATATTCCTAGCAGTGAAATAGCTGAGTCATACATATGAGATTTCTATGTTAATCTTTTTGAGGAAATGCCAAACTGCCTTCCAGAGTGGTTGTGCCATTTTACAATCCCACCAAGAGTGTATGAGAATTCCAATCTCTCTACATTTTTTCCCAGCATTTATTGTTTGCTGTCCTGTTAAACTTTGCTACCAGACTGAGATGATATTTCATTGTGGTTTTGATTTGCATCTGATTGCCAGTGAGTTTGAACATTTCTTCATATGTCTGTTGACCCTCTGAATGCTTACTTTGTGAAGAGTGTTAGCATGTTTTTCCCTCATTTTGTTACTGGGTTATAAGTCTTTTTCTTGTGGAGGCCCTGTTATTGTTATGTGCTGTCAAGTCACTTGTGACTCATAGTGACGCTATGTACAACAGCTCTAAAGCCTTCCCTGTCCTGAGCCAGTCTCACTGACTCCAACACACCTAATCCATTGCCCTAGTTACTGTATCAGTCCATCTTATCTGGGGTCTTCCTCTCCTGTGCTGTCTCTCCACCCTTCTGAGCATGACGTCTTTCTTTTAGGACAGGTCTCTCCTGGCTACATGCCCTATGTATGTGGAACAGAGCTTCAAAACCCTACCCTCCAAGGAGAAATTTGGTTTCACCTTCTCCGAAACAGACCTATTTGTTTTCTTGGGGGTTCATGGTATGTTCAGTACTCTTTTCTAGCACCACAACTCTAAGGCATCAATTCTTCTATCATCCTTAGTCATTGTCCAGCTCTTGGATGCATAGCAAGTAATTGCAAAAACCATGACCTGGATCAGGCACCCCTTCTCAGTACTCTGGAAAGGTCCCTGACAGCAGATTTACCTAATGTAATTTGTATTTTGATTTCCTAACTGCTTGATGCTAAGAGTGTTGATTGTGGAGCCAAGTAAGCTGTTACTGTTAACAAACTCAACCACTTCTCCATCTATCATGGTGCTTGCCAATGGACCCAGTGGTGATAATCTATGTCTTTTTGATATGGAGCTTCAATCCATATTGAAGACTACAGTGTTTGATCTTCTGCAGAAAATGCTTCAGGTCATCCTCAGTTTCAGTAAGCAAGGTTTGTCATCTGCATAATATTCTGTAAACTTTCATTTTGAGGCCCTTATTTGAGATGTTAGTGCCAAATGTTTTTTTCCCCAGTCTGTAGATTTTCTTTTCTCTATATTGGAAAAGGTTTTGATACACACAGGCTTAATTTTTAGAAGATCCCAAATATCAATATTATCCTCTCCTGATTGTATAGGTCTAGCTCTATTTGCAAGCAATATCTTTAGGACTAGAGCTCCTAAGTTTGTTCCTATATTTTCTCTTATGATCCTTATGGTTTTAGGTTTTACCCTTAGATTTGTGATCCACCTTAAGTTGATTGTGTGTGTGTGTGTGTGTGTGTGTGTGTGTGTGTGTGTGTATGGCGTGAGGCGTGGGGCCTATTTCAGTTTTCTGTAAGGGGATGTCCAGTTTTGCCAATACCATTTGTTGAAGAAGTTGTCATTTCCTCATTTGATAGGTTTTATTTTCTTGTAAAATATCAATTGACCATAGACTAAAGGGTTTGCTTCTGGGTGGTTTGTTCTATTTCATTGGTCTATGTGTCTGGCATTGTATCAATGGCATGCTGTTTCGGTTACTATGGCTATGTAGTATTTTTGAGATCTGCCATGCCTCTCACTTAATTTTTCATTTTCAAAATTGCTTTGCTTATTTGAGGTCTCTTTCCTTTCCAAATAAACCTGACAGTTGACTTTTACATCTCATTGAAGAATGAGTTTGAAGTCTGTATTAGGATTCTGTTAACCATGTAGATGGCTTTTGATAGGACTGTCATTTTTACTATGTTGATTCCTCCTATCCATGAACAGGGACTGTTTTCCCATTTAGTAAGACCTCTTATTGTTTCTTGTAGTAGTATTTTGTAGTTTTCCTTAAAAAGCTCTTTTGTTTCTCTAGTTAGGTTTATTCCTGAGTAGTTAAACTTATTGTTAGCTATTGTAAATGGTATTGCTTTCTTAATTTCCTTTTCTGTGCTTTCTTTGATGCTGTAGAGAACTACCACTGATTTTTGTAAATTGATCTTGTATCCTGACAATCTACAAAATTGGTCATCTAGGTCTAACAGATTTTTTGGTTGAGACTTTGGGGTTTTCTGTATACATTATCATATCATCTGTATAAAGTGACAAGTTTACCACCTTTTCACCAGTTTTGAAGCCTCTTATCCCCTTCTCCTTTCTTACTGCCTTAGCAAGTGCTTCCAATACACTATTTAATAGGAGAAGTGATAAGTGGGCATCCTGACTTGGTGCCTGTTTACAAGGGGAATGCCTTTGGTCTTTTTTCCCCCCAATTTAGAATGATGTTAGCTCTTGAGTTTGATTTTGAACTTTTCACTATGTTAAGGAAATTATCTTTTTTCTTGTTTCATTGAATGTTCTAATCAAGAAGAAGTGTTGGATTTTGTTAAAGGCCTTTTCTACATCAATTAATAGGGTTATGTGTTTTTGTTCCTTGCTTTGTTAATGTGATGAATTGCATTAACTGTTTTTCTCATATTGAACCATTCTTGCATACTAATTATGAATGCCATTTGGTTATGATGAATTATTTCTTTCATATACTGTTGGACTCAATTGGGCAGGATTTTGTTAAGACCTCTTCAGAAAGATCAGTAAAATAGACAAACCTTTGGCAAACTAAATAAAAGAAAAGAAAGAGCAGGAACAAATGACTTGAATAAGAACTGAGACAACATCACTATAGAAACAGTTAATATTAAAATTATAAAAATGGAAGAATATGAAAGGATATACACTGATAAATTTGAAAACCTAGAGGAAATGGGCTAATTCCTAGAAATTCATACTCTATCCAAATTGACACAGAAAGAAGTAAAACAGTTGAATAGACTCATCACAAAAGAAGAAATTGAGCTGGTCATAAAAAGTCTCCCTATAAAAATGTCCTGGTTCAGACAGCTTCATGGGCGAAGTCTACTAAATACTCAAATATGAACTACTTTTTAATAGAAAAACAAGGAACAACTTCAGAGTCAGTCTACAAAGCAAGTGTAACCCTAATACCAAAACCAGGCAAAAAAAAATCACCAAAAATGAGAACTATAGTAGCTCTCATGAACACAGACCTTTCTTTTGAGGTGTTGCTGGGCTTCATTGGGGTCAAATTGCAACCTTCAAATAGTGGTCATGCATAAACTGTTGACATCACTCAGAGAATGTGAAGGTTAATGGTAATCAAATGTAATCCAAACTCACTACTGTTGAATCAGTTCTGACTTGGAGAGATCCTCTTTCAGGGTTCTGAGGCTGTAAATCTTTTTAAGGGGAGACTGCCTTCTTTCTTACCCAGCATGACTGGTGGGCTTGAACTACTAACTTTCAGTTAGACAAACACTCCTTGAGAATAATAATAGCTGTATTTTACATGAGTATTTGTGAAGATTATCTGAGTTTATTCTTATTGGGGGAGCTCTGGTGGCCTAGTGGCAAGAAGCTGTGCTGCAAACCCGAAGGCATGTGGTTTGAGGCCACCAAGTGCTCTGAAGGAGAAGGATGGGCTATCTCCTTCCATACTATTAACTGCAGCTGAAAACCTGCCAGACGGTCAGCTGTGTGTCGCTTATGAGTCTGTAGTAAATGACAACAACATGCATATCGGGAACTCTGGTGCTTTAGTGCTAAGGCGTTGCACTACCAACCCCAAAGCATGCAGTTAAAATTCACTAGTTCCTCCATAGGAGAAAGATGGCCAGTCTCTTCCCATGAAATTTACTGCCTCTGAAAACAACTGGAGGGTCAGCTAGGAGTTTATTTCAATTCAATTTTACACAACAATACATAGAAAACCCTTAGAAGAGCCCTAGTACATAAAAGTGTACAGTAAAATAGTCTCTCAAACTCATTAACATTGAATTAGTTCCAACTTATAGCTGACCTCCAGTGGGTTTCCAAGGCTCTAAATCACACAGGAAGAGATTACTCCTCTTTCTCCATCTGAATGGTTAGAAGATTCAAACTTTCAGAGAAGTTTGGAAGCCTTTGGGTTAGCAACATAGCTGTCTGTGAACTAAGCCACCAATATAACTCTACCTTTTTAAACTTCATTGTCATTGAGTTAGAGCAAACTCATAGCTGAATGTCTGAGTGGTTTTCTGAGGCTGCAAATCACATGCGAGGAGATTTTCTATCTTTCTCCCGTGATCACTTTTAATGGTAATTTAAAGTCTTCCTCTCTAGTGAAATCATTATTAATTACCCAACTTAAGGTTATTTCTTCCTCATATTTGTTATTCTGGATAGTACTTGACATGTAATACTCTGTCTTAAAACTTATGTATGAACTTGTCTTGGTTTATACTGGACTATAGCATCATTGAGATTAAGACATCTTTATTCATATAAGTTTAAATGTGGAAGGATTGTGTATTGTGCCTGACACATTAAAAGGACTCAACAAATACAGGCTAAATTAAAATAGAATGGATTTATTCCTTTAGAAATGTTGTTCCATAAGCCATACTGGGTAAAAAAAATAGCATATGAAATAATGAAGCAAACAGCTTGATAACAAGGGTGTGTCTGTGGAAGACCCTGAGATGGCTGTGGCTGAAACTCTCTCCACGCTCTTCACTGCAGGTCTGCCTGGTGGCCTATCTCGGCTTATTTATGCTTTGTGTCTCATATCAAGTTGATGAACGAACATGCATCCAGTTTGTTATGAAAGTAAGTCATGATAATTTTTTTCCCCTTTTTCTTCATTGCACAGAAAGAGAGAGATATAAAATAAGAGTACCTTTATGAGGTCAGTAGTTAATGACTTTAGAAATGGCATTTTTATACAAGCCAAAGTCTTGTTTTAAAAAGGCATTGATTCAACACCCTGGGGTAAAATTAGTTGTTGGCTTTTTAAAAAGTCTTCATCTCCTTGAACTGAGTAGGCTTGGTTGGCGGTGGTTTGAACCCACTAGCTACTTAGAAGGAAAAATATCTGTCCGTTTGTTTTTCATAAAGATTTCTAGCCTTAGAAACCTCATTGGGCTTGTTCTCTGCCCTGTAGGGTCACTGTGAGTTGAAACTGACTCAATGGCAGTGGCTTTGGTTAGGCATTTGGGTCCAATGCCTTTAAAAGGAATATGGAAAATCCATCAACTCTGCAACCTCTCCACCCAGGGTAAACGGGTCTATTATCAGTACCCACTTCCACCTCGTGGGGGTAACTGAGAATGTTTTAATAATGAAGTAGTCTGAGTGCATTTCCTCTTGTAGGTGGGATCACTGAGACAGAAAAAAGTACATTGGGTGCATCCAAATGATCTATGCCAAAGATGAGAGGGCAAAGGGCTGAGGATACGGGAGGTCAAGTTTTGCATGGCTTGGCAAGTATGTGACTTTCATTTGCCTCTATTGTTGACTCTCCTAGGGACAGTTAGTTGGAGCTAATCCAAGTTCACAGCATTTTCACAGCAGGTTAGAATCTATTCCAAAGAGAAACAGAGACACACCCTTCTAGAGCTCAAGGAGATAAACCCAGAGCCCAGCAAACAGAGCTGGGAGAAACCAAATTCCTGCGTTTTCTCTCAACTGCTGCAATCAAGAACAAAAAGCTTTTGTGATTTGTGTGTGTGCACTTACATTGTTTACTCTTTCATCTAAAAAACCCCAACATACAACTGGAGACTTTTATTTGATCACCAAAAAAGAAAACCAAAGGCAGAAAAGGATATTTTTTAGAAATTAAGATCTAAAAAAATTAAGTGGTGTTAATATATTGTAGTATAATTGAAACTACTAACAAAAAGCAGTGTTCTGATGTTGGTGTGGTATGATCTTATATAAGAAAAAATTAAAATGTAACTTTCATGTGCATAAAAATAGCTATCTAGTGGGATTATAGTGGAATTGGTGCTTTTTTAAATTGTGAAATTTCCTCCAGTAGATAGATGTAACTTTTCTAATTAAAAAAAAATTAATGGATGTTGTTTCTGGAAAAAGAAAATTACAAGAGCTAGAATTCTGGCAGATATGCCTACACTTGGAAATTTTCCTTTTCCTGTCCGAGGGTTTTCCTAAAAGAAAAAGGTCAGAACAGACTTTTTTGTTTGCTTTCTTTCAGAGGTCTGATGAAACAGCAAGGCCTGGGAATAAAAAAATGCAGAAAACCCAGTAGTCTGTTAAATGATCGAAACTTTATTCTTATCAAATGAAATACACCCAAAATTAGGTTCATCGATTTATGTGAAATACTCTTATTTTCCTGGAGATGATCCCAAACAGCTGAGGCAAAAGCATCTGTTTCCTAGAGGCCCCCAAAGCCATCTCAAGATCTGCACTTTAGTTAAAATAAGGAGCAAGAGGAAGTAGGGAGTCACTGCCAATGTCAGATAGGTTGAGAGTTTCCCGCCAGGAAGATCTCATTAGCTACCGTTCCCCCCACCTGTGACAGACACTGACAAATACTGAGGCATTTTTCTCTTCTCCTGAATGTGACCTTTAGTGACGCTGGCTGCCAGCTCTCAGGTGTGCTCGAGATTATCTTCAGGCTGAAAATGAGCATCAGTCCATCTCCAAGTTTTCTAAAGGCACAACGGATCACACTGATGACTTCCCTGGTGCATCTCATGCCATTTTGGGAGGAAAAGAATAAAATGTATTTTTATATTTTTCACCAGCATAAAACACTGCCTTTTAATATCTCTGATATTGGCATTCTGACCCAAGGTTTTTTGAGAATAGATTTCCTCCTGTTGAACGATGACACTGCCAAGGATAGCAATTAGGCAGGGATTGTAGTGTTTCTGTACTACACCTCCCACACATCACCCCACCCCCATCACACACTCCTCACCTACACACTACATCACGCACATCCTACCACTCCACACCCCACACCCTATACATACCACATCACATGCCACATCAGACACAGCCCACTCACACTATACCATACACCACACACACATCACACAGTGCACACTACACATACACACCCTCCCACACCACACACACAATACACACTGCATCCCACACTCCACCCACACCACATACACCCCCCCCCACATACACACACACTCTACCACTCCACACCCCACACAGACCACACCACACACCACCCAACCCACACCCCACCTATACCATATACCACATCACACACAGTGTGGGTAGGAACCACATTACATCATACACCACGTACACACATACACACCCCTACACCATATACCACGTACACACATACACACCCCTACACCATACATCACGTACACACATACAGACCCCTACACCATACACCAATACACATATACACACCCCTACACCATACACCACATAAACACATACTACAATTCCCCACATCTCTCTCTCACATACGTCCCATACACACACAATCACTCCACACCCCACCCACACTACACCACACACCACACACAATCTCCCTCTCTTTCTCTCTCTCTCTCTCTCACACACACACACACACACACACACACACACACACTCCAATACTCCATACCCCACACATACCACATGACACTCCACCTACACCCCACCACACTACACCATACACCACACACACTCTCCAACACTCCACATCCCACACATACATGACATATCCCACATACCCCACCCACACTACACCATACACACCACCCACATACTCCCCTCTCTCTCTCTCACACACACACACACACACTCTCTCTCTCTCCCCCAACAACCCACACATACCACATGACACACCACACACGCCCCACCCACTATATACCACCCCCCCTCACACATACACACACTCCAACACCCATACCCCACACATATCACATGACACACCATATACACACCCCACCCACCGACTCTCCACTCCCCCCCTTAGGGACAAGAGACAGGGGTCTTGTTTTTTCCTCTCAAGCTGCAGTCATCTCCTCTGGCGCCCCCGCAGAGCCTCCACGCTCCAGCGCATTCTTTTTGCCCCCTGCGGCTCTACTCCCGGGCTTGGCAGGCCTTTCTGCGGCAGATTGAACCTCATGCCTTTCCTCGTGGCCCGGTTTTCTCTATGCGCACCTTCATTTTTCAGAAACGTGTCCTGTTCATGTGCTTGTGACAACATTTCAGGGCACATTCCCCGAAAGGACATTTAAGGCGAAGTCGCCTGGTGCTCACATCCAGGAGGCCGCAGGGTTGCTGCAGCCACTTCATGAGCAGCGAGCTGCAGAGGCGCCTCTACCATTCACGTCAAGGGGGAAGATAATGAAATCGAAGCACAGCCACCCTCCTCCCCAAGTCACCGAAGTGCGTTAAAGCTGCAGCCCGGTACCAATTAGAGGCAGCCGAGCCGCCGAGCTCCCGCGCCGCTGCTGTTACGTAAGCTGAGTGGCCTCCGCCTCCGCCCGCGCGCAGCCAGCGCCTCCGCCGGCCGCTCGCCCACCGCCCAGCAAGAGTGATGGGCTGACACCCGCAAGACGAATGCCTCCCGGCCGGGGGCTTTATCAAGATGTATTTGCTCGGATTCCCAAGGTCATCGTAAACACTCTCATTGATGCTTTCTCCGTGCTGTGTAGGTAACGAGCCACTTGCCTTTAAATTACAGATTCTAACCCAGAAGCTAGTTGCTGTCAGATGAGTTAAAGGCCACGGAGGAAAAATGCTACGGCGCTGCAGATAGAGCTCACAGCCTTTGAGGCATCAAGTATATATTTGTATCTTAAAATACATAAGAAGCCTGCTTCCCCGGCTCACTCCTGTTCACTTGGCCTGGTGCTCTCCTAGGCGGAAAAGCACAATCAGGTGGTAGGTGTGCGTCAAAGTGAATGCATCCAGAGTCCAAGGCGTGAGGGAAGCGGCTTTTCTTTGTGCTCATTGCTGTCTGCTCGCATATTTAAAATATTCTGGGTTTGTAAATATTTACATCTTTTATACAAGCCGATGATGTAGTTACTCCCACTTGTCAGAGGAAAGACAAAGCCAGTAGCATTTATTTCCTAAGAGCTCCCAGATCTAGCAGCTCTGTTTCTATTAATTTATTTACTTCACAAATACTCAAATATTTCTGCTATGTACCAAACACTGTTCTGAGTTCTTTATGCATATCAACTCTTTTGATCCTAATAGTAATCCTATGATGAAGACACTATTATGAACACCATTCATAACGGTTTGCAAGTAAACACGCAGACATACATAGTGACATTGATTAATTTGCCAAAGACACATACTATCAAGGGGGGACCAAGAGAAGTAGAACTCTAACCGAGGCAGTCTGAGTTTTTGTTCTACTCTTACTGCTGTATGACTGTGCTTGTTAAATGATCTCGGGCAAGTCTTTTAATTAGCTCTCCCTAAAGACTACCCTTAAAAAGAAACAAAATTCTCATTTCTGCAAAGAGATTTTTGTGAGACTCATAAGAAAACAATGTTTTCTTCAGTGATTTAAATTATTTGTAGATCGAGACAAACAAATAAAACAGAAACAAATTCAAACAATTGGCATGACTCCTAATTTGTGAAATTCACATTTACCAGAAGTTACAAGGTAAGTATTGAATATAACTTATATAGAGTTGTAATTGAATATAACTCCTGTACTAGGAATATAACTCTTATACTAAGAACTATATTGACTTCACAAGTCTTCTGTTCTTTATCTCGAGTCTCAGAAAAATACTGAAATAGCTACTTCCAGTAGATGAATCCAATCACAACACTATTTCTTATCCTGTAAAATAGATTTTAGGAAGCTCTGGTGGCTAGTCCAAAGGGAGTTGCACTGCTAACCCAAAGGCCTGAATTTCTGATAATTCTAATCCACCAGTGGCTGACTAGGATAAAGACAGACAATCTCTTCCCATGTGTTTTACAACCTCAGAACTCTACTGGAGGGTCAGCCCCGAGTTTGTTCTAGCTTGACAGCAGAGGTGAAAACTGATTATATTGTGGTCATGCCAGTGAGTGCCCAAATTCTTATCAAAACATTTCAGATCTGGGCTACATAAACAAAATTCCCAGAGATTTCACACTCATTTAGCAACAGACTAGAATTTGAACTAGACCTTTCTAATCCCAAGACCAAAACCAATCATCTACAGTTGGATTTAGACCAAGGCTTACAGATGATGAAGTGGACATCAAGTTGCTATGTCCTCTGGAACCATTCCAACCCCCATCCCTGATCCTTTACAAGTTTGTGGGATCCTAGCGTTCATAGGCATAGTCTGGCAACCATTACAGTGAATATAGTTTTTGTTTTTATTAACTTCTATTTCTGGTTGACCAGGCATTTCTAATTTTGGCCAACACACTGGTAGCACTGTAGCAACATCTTCTTTACTTCCTAGTCTTGTTTCAATCTTAGTATCAGCAATTCTTGAGCTCAGAATCAGCCAAGCATGCCTTTCAGGGATGGCTGACTTGTTTGGGATTCATCTAAACCACTGATTACATTTACCTCCAGACATATCACTATCAAGATCTTAGGGTTGATGCAGTTCACGAAAAGCATCTAACACTGATATCACAAACAAAAATACGGTCAGTTGTTTAAAGACTACTTTCTAATAAACATAAAACCATTCCTGTGTCTGGTGGGACTCAATTTCTGAGGACAGACAGCTCTTCATTGGGGCATTTCCTGGGGAAAGAAGAAAATGAACCATTCTTATTAATTTGCCTTGTAAAATCCAATGTTCTCTGTAACTGGAAAAGCTTTATTCTGTTTTCTTGCAGCTGTTCTACTTTCTGCTGAGTGCCCTTGCATTGATTGTCTGTGTGCTGGCTGTGGCCTTCGCGGCCCACCACTATTCGCAGCTCCAGCAGTTTACCTGTGAGACGGCCCTCAACTCCTGCCAGTGCAAACTGCCCTCCTCAGAGCCGCTCAGCAGGACCTTTGTTTACCAGGATGTAGCTGACTGTACTAGCATCACTGGCACTTTCAAGCTGTTCTTACTCATCCAGATGATTCTTAACTTGGTCTGCGGCCTTGTGTGCTTGCTGGCCTGCTTTGTGATGTGGAAACATAGGTACCAGGTCTTTTATGTGGGTGTCAGGATGTACTCCTTGACAACTTCCAAAGGGCAGCAGCAGAAGGTCTAACACTCTTGTGCAGAGGTGGCAAAGAAAGCAGCACATTGAACAGCAGAAGGTTAAAAAACAAAACAAAACAAATGAAGACACAAAGAGGGAAAGGAACCAAAACAGCTAAACCCTCTTTTGACAAGGAATAATACTCATTGGTTCTAAATGAATATTTTTCTAGGTTGGTTTTTTTTTTCTTTTCTGAAAATGAAAGCACATTTCTTCAGGTTTCTATAGCATTTTTAAAAATTCTTATGAGGCAGGCGAGATCCAAATTGACTTTGAAATTTAAAGAACACTAAGCAGGAGGTGGGGGGAATCAATCTATTTAGCCTGGAATTGAGTCCTACTATTCATTTAACCCAGTAGTATATATCTCATCATCTCCCCTATAGACCCAGTGTGGTGCTGTGAGTTGATGTTGCAGGGCCACTTGCTACATTTGACATTTCTCTCCTGACCTCCTCCCATGTATAGGAGGAGAGTCAGAATTTGCGAAGAAGCTGAAAAACTGGGCTGGATCTTTTTATTTATTCCTGTAGTGTACTCACGGGCTGAGATAATTTAAAGGAGCATTGGAGAAAAGGAAGCACCTTTGCAAAAAGCTAAATAATTACAAACACCTGGACTGGGGCTAGTCCACTCCCCTCATTTGGCTCTAAGTAGATCACTTAGTAAAAGCTTTGATGATCATCTGCTTCCCAATAATTGAAAGGTGGTAGTAGTTGTATTCTTAATGATGTAGAAGGTTTAAAAATAATTACATTATGCTTCTATTCTATTGTATAAAACAAATCATTAAAATGAATTTCGAGCTAATTGTTAATTATAATTATACTCAGAAGTCTCTTTAATGAGCCCGGGTGTACGTAGCTCGGTTGGTGTTAGCAGAAATTACTCTCACAAGAGAGGAGGCCTAAAGATTCTTTCTTCTGATTATTGCCAAGCTTTACAAGGGGGCTGGGGGGATAGCTCAGGCTAAAGCTTTCATTTAAACAAAACCAAGAACATTTGTAGTGGGAATTATTTATAAAATAGTACATTTGTATTATGTTGGAAACTATCTTACTTGGCAGCTAAGTATTTTTGAGGACTGGGTAATGCTAAGGAACCCAGGTGGTATGTTGTAATAGGTGTTGGGCTGCTAACAGAAGGTCAGTGGTTCAAATTTACCAGCTGCTCCACTAAAGAAAGATGAGGCAGTGCTCTCCTGTAAGGATTTACAGCTTCAGAAACCCAATGGAGGGTTGCCGTTAATTAGAATTGGCTCAAAGGCAGCAGGTGTGATTTAGATAGGTAATGCTGACCTGTTTTAGTCACAAAACTATATTTTATTATTGATTAGTGTGCACAAACTAAAGGCTAGTAACAATGCTATGACATCTATATTATAGTATTATTCAGTAACTTGTAGAATATTTTCATGTAGTTTCATTTTTAAGTAACAAATCACAAGTAGTGGAAGACTTGTTCTTTTTAGTTATTGTTATTATATAATTTTGAAAACTAGAATTCTTTTAAAGAATGGGTTTAAAATGTAGTTCATGTAGCACAAATGTTATCAAGAACTTTATTATTCTACTCTGATAAACAGAGAAATTCAGGATAATAACAGAGCTAAATTTTCTTTTCTACACTCTCTGTTGGTACACTCTAAAAATCATGAATTTCTACCATCAAAGAAAAACTTTCTTACTTGATGAGAAAGACTTACAATGGAGTCAATTTCTATACAATATAAATATCCATATAAAAGGGAGAATGCTAAGTCAGTTAACTGGAGGGCTGGACGTATTTTTCGTGTGTTCTCCAGGTAAAACACCTGAGGAACAGATGTTAAAATATGTGTGTGTTTGTTTTGACTGGCTTTTCAAACAACTGCGCACGCGTTGGTCCAGCCAAGGACATTGGAGCTTAGTGACTCTGCAGCATAAAGTTCATCCCCCCCACAAAATTACTCCTGTGAAAGCTCACAGATCCTAATGATGCTTTGAAATCGCCTTTTAAAATGCAAATAGTTTAATCCGTTGTGACTTTTAACAAATTTTCCTCCATAAAGAAGAGAATGTTTGAGATTCTGAAATGCTGCAGATTCTTAAAAGAGTGAGAAACTCTAAAGGCTGTAATGCCCCTTGCCTTGAATCAAGCACCAGATGAAGTGTACCTTGAATATGTTAAACAATTTATTATTGCCAACAATATGGATTTTTTATGAGAACTTTAAAACTCTACATATCATTAAGTTGCTCTGTGTTTTATAAGAGAATAACCAGGTCGTTCAATGTTAGAATAACTAACTAAAGTGCTTCTTTTTTCTAAAGAATATAACCAGTATGAGTTGACATGGTGGTGAATTTACTTTCGGTGAAGATACCCACATGCAGAATTAAGTGGAGATTTTGCTGTTGTGTGATCAAATCATTCTTAAATCTCCAAAGAAAGAGGGAGATCACAGAAGGATCAATAAGACCCAAAACAGAGCAAACAAGATTTCTGTGCTGGGAACGCACCGTGAATGATGCACGTAAGAATTGTGGTGCATGAATAACAGACTGCTTTGGGTTGGGTCTGAAGTATTTTGATGTTGTGTTTTGCAAATATTGAAGTTACAATAATAGCAACAGAAAAGGACTAGATATACAGCTTTACACTTAGCAAAATGTTACATTTAAAACCTGAAAAGGAGCCAAAATGGTGATTGTCTCTATGAAACCATAAAACAGTAAGATTTGCGCAATTCTCCTCCTCTTCCACCTCCTTCAGGAGAATTAAATGAATCAAGACTCTGCAAAGAGGAGGAACAGCCAGGACTTGGCAGTACTTGAAATAGGAGGAATACAGCAGCCCAAATGTACAGACTTTGTAACTGAGCCCACTGGATCAGCCTGTGCCTTCACGTGACCACCATCTGTGCCTCCCTCACACCATCCAAATTTGTGTAGGCAGCTCCTTGGAGCCATGCCTAAAAATATAGCTACACCAGAACCCTAGAAACTGTAGTTAAGTAACAGACCTAACTTTTTCCCCTCTTTGGCTTAAAGTCTACACAATCTCTTTTGTGGGGTGTCCAGCTGCACACACCAGCTTGTTCTGACAGTGAGAACTCAATGAAGTTGTAGTGTTTTCCATCTGTGCTCAGGACTTCAGAATCACTTGATCTTGTATGCCCATATGCATGCTGTTATGTTGTTGTTGTTGTTGTAAACTGTAGAGTCGGAACCGACCCATAGCTGACCATCGGCAGGTTAATCGCACAAGAGGAGACTTCCCATCCGTCCCCAGTGGAGCAGATGGTGACTTCGAACCATGTGCCTTTGAAATTGCAGCACAGCTTCTTGCCTCTAGGCCACCAGCTTTCCCTGCATGAAATATACATGGAATTTTTGTAGTGTTATGGTAAGGGATAAAATAGAGGGTACCTGAGGGTGGTGAATGATTATTTAAAGAAAATCACAAAAGAATTTAAAAGATGCTTCTACAAAATAGTTATTTCCTAGGGAAACACACTTCTGGATTTTCTAAGTTGACTCTAGCTATTGCTATGTAGGAATAGCTTTCTGTAAATCATGCTGGCAAATAATTTTTTTAATAAAGAACTTTTATCATGTTTTCAGATATACACTATATTCAGGATTACATTACAAAGAATTGAATTGATGGGCAAATGTATTGACTCACAGTGGAAACATTTGATTTTTGGTGAAAGCTTAGTGGTTCATCTGGTGAAATGAACGCCTTCATTCTTTTCTTCTGATTTTCTACTATTACCACAAATGATTACTCTCTTTGAAAATATTAGTCTGTTCTTTGATGTTGAAGTTTCATTCTTCTGGCATTGATGAAATTGTTAATAGAAAACAAAATGTTCACTATATTTTTGAGGTGGTGGTTTTTCAAAGAGCTGTCTATAATTCAGGATTTATTTGTTAATAAAGTTTTCATAATCTCCAAAGACACCCTGTTTGAATGTTCTTTAAAATGAGTATACACTACACATGAACTAGTAGATATATCTCTCACATAAGTATCTACAATGAGAAATCTGGATTTAAATTAGAAAAGAACTAATATTAATTTTGTATCTTTTATCTCAGTGACTTTGTCTCCTTTGGTGCCCTGTATATGTGCTAGAAATCAGAGTTGTGAATGTTTCCCAGGCAAACAGTACATATATATACACACAATGAGATAGATATCTATACACTGATTATATATATATACACACACGCACATTTATATTTATATATATGTTGTTGTTCTTATGTGCCATCGAGTCGCTTGTGACTCATAGCGACCCTATGTACAAGAGCTCTAAACTCTGCTCTGTCTTGTGCCAGTCGCTCTGTCTCTGACACTCCCATCCAGTCACTGAATCAATCCACCTCATAGAGGGCCTTCCCCTCCTGCACTTTCCCGCCACCCTCCCCAGCATGATGTCCTTTTCCAAGGACCAGTCCCTTCTTACAACATGTCCAAAGTATGTTAGACGGAGCCTCAGAATCCTTGCCTCCAAGGAGCCACCCGGTTTAACCC